GAAATTTTGTCTTAATCCCAGTTTCCTTATTTGTGAAACTGGGATAACTAATGTCTGAAGTGCTCTGGGATCCTTGGGCAGAAAGCACTTGAGAAGCATGAGTCACCCTCTTCTCGCTACTGCGCCTTTTAAAAATAGGTGACAAGTGCTGTGCTGGCAGCAAAGAAATTAGCACTCTGGTCTTCATGTGGCATCACAGCGTCTGAAGCCTGTTTTTTCTCTCTCTCGGGCTGGCACACTCTGGAGAGGGAACACTTGGTTCCTTGGCAGAGGGAGTGGGTATCTTGTGCCACATGGCAGTGACATCTTCCTGCCATTAGAGAGAATCCTTAGTGTTCATGTCCAGCTCTTCTGGGGCAGAGTATGGGCACTGCAATGTGAGACCCTAAGGCAGCGGGGGGCAAACTTTTTGTCCCAAGGGCCACATCTGGGTATGGAAATTGTATGGCGGGTCATGAATGCTAATGAAATTGTGGGTTGGGGTGCGGGAGGGGGTGAGGGTGAGGGTTCCAGCTGGGGGTGTGGGCTCTGGGGTGAGGCCAGAAATGAGGCGTTCAGGGTGTGGGAGGGGGCTCTGGGCTGGGGTGCAAGGGGCGGGGGTGAGGGCTTCGGGTGCTTTGGGCTGGGACCAAGCAGTTCGGAAGGTGGGAGTGGGATCGGGGCTGGGGCGCTGGATGGGGTCGGGGTGCAGGCTTCGGGTAGCGCTTACCTCAAGCAGCTCCCAGAAGTAACATTTCCCCCCTATGGCTCCTAAGCAGAGGTGCAGCCAGGCAGCTTTACGCGCTGCCCTGTCTGCAGGCACTGCCCCTGCAGCTCCCGTTGGCTGTAGTTCCTGGGGCTTGGGGCTGCCTCTACACAGAGGAGCCGGAGGGAGAACCTGCCGCTGCTTCTGGAAGCTGCGTGGAGTTGGGCAAGCCCTGGACCCCACTCCCCAGCAGGAGCTTGAGGGGTGGATTAAAACGTCTGGAGGGCTGGATGCGGCCCCGGGCCGTAGCTTGCCCACCCGTGCCCTAAGGGCCGGGTGAGGGGACCCTTCACAGTTTTAGTGAGCACAAAGGGTCCCTTGAGGAGAGCCATGTATCAGTCTTTAAAGTATTGGGTACATGCTGGGAATCCCAGTGGGAGGTCAGTGTGGGTTTTTTTGTGTGGTGATTATATATGTTCCTGAGGGACTTGTACAGAGTCTGAAGCACTGAAAATGTGCAGCTGTAGGCTTGACTGGAAAGAGCCCAATGGAATCCTAAAAAACCTAGGGAATAGATTTCAGCAGATCCTCACTGTCCGTGTTTTGGACTTAGTGCTGCACAGGCATGCCATGCATGGGCTCCTGATGGAGTCAGCCAGCCCTCTCCAGGTGTCTTGGCTCCACGTGGAATGGTGCTTGTTGCTAAAGGAAGCTCTTGGCAATCAAAGCCAGCTGGTAGGTCCTACCCTTGCTGGCTAGAAAAAGAGCAAATACATATGAAGCAATTTTTTGTGTGTGTCTTGCTGAGGGTGAAACTAGACTAGGTAGGGGTAGCAGGTTACCCAGGCCTGCAGCCTTGGCTCAGTGACTGGCACTGGCTGGGCTTTCTTGCTGGGATGCCCTCTGTTTTGTAATGCCTGGTTCTGTGGGGACTGTGTGTGAGAGCCAAGGCTGCAGGGACAGGAAGAGTGAGACTTAAATAAGCATAAGGCATCTCTGTTTGTTGTGCAGTGGCTGTGTCCCCTCCTCCCCAACACTGGGGGGAGAGCCAAGCGTTCCTCGGTGCGAGTCCTCTCCAGAAAGCTCTGAAAGAGACAAGCATGAAGATCAAATTCATTGTGTTGCTGACATGGTAACGTGTGGTTGTTTGGTTCAGGTTTTTTCCTCCCCTTTTGTAGCTCCTGTAGAGTAGCTGGCACAATTGTGGTGGGGTGGCAGAGAATCGTAGGGAATCAAGCCCATCACAACAGGTATTCAGTTTGATTTCCTCACCTCCCCACTTGCAGAGCTCATAGGACTCTCCTCTACATCATTCCCAGAAATGCTTGGTCTCTGCTCATTCCTGGCTCTCTGCAGTGATGGAGACTCCATCTCCTATCATCTCTTCTAGGGATCCTTTGCTTTCATGGTTAAGAACAGTTTATGTAAATGGCTCCAGGCTATTGCTCCTTGTATGGTAATAGCCTCTTAGGAGACAGTGAATAATTCCCTCCCTTCATTTATATTGTTACCTTGAAGGTATTTATAGACTCATGTCTCTCCTCTGGCCTTCTCTTTCCTTTACTACATAAACTTAGCTCTCTTGCTCCCTCTACTCATGTGCCTTTATTCTCTAGCTCTCTGGTACATTTGCTTGCTGTCACTTGTGCTTTCGCTAGCATTCTTTCTGGATTGTAGAGTCTGGAGCCATTCATGCTTATTTGAAACATGGCCATATTGGGGTTATGTAGGGCAGCCTTATCTCCTCTCCAGCTCATGTATGTGATTTACCCTCCTACATGCAATAATAACTTTGCCTTGCAGCACACCATGAGAGATGGTGGCTATGATTCTGGGAGCTATGGTTGTCACTGCTTTTCCCTGAGTATAGCTCATGCTCTGTTCAGACCCACTATGAAATGTTGTTTTGTTCACTTTTACCAGTGATTTGAAGTTGGTTATACAGTAACTTCATCCCCAGTGTGACTGGATTGGTTGGGATCAATAATCATCTTGACATCCATGTTGAAGTAGTCCTCGTCATATTGTTTACTGTGTCTGCACTCTGATCATCACAGTGGTAAACCACCCAGGGACCCTTTATTGGGTCCATGCCCCAAGAGCAAGTGGTGCTAGAATTGCTTTCTTACACCTGTGACCGATTAGGATGGTGAGTCTCATTGGGACAGATGCAAACCTAGCAGCAGCAACCTCTAGGCATGGCTAATGCAATGCATGGTAGCTATGAATTTAAGGAAAGATGTTGAACCAGTGTGAGCTTCAAGATGTAGTGCCCATCCTGCAAAGTAATGCACATTGACATGAGCTAATCATCCTGTGCCCCAGACACTACACTGGCTGTCTACTTAATACTAGAACAAGTTCAAGGTCCCAAAGCCCTCAGTGGGCTGGAGCTGACTCTGCAGTCAGGACCTACCATGAAGCTGTGGCCCTCAGGAACAGTAGAACTGTCAACAGGACAGGTGTTGCTCATGGGAACCGGGGGACATGAGCATTCTCAGTTGCTGGCCCATAGCTGGGGAACTCTTCTTCCATGAGAGACTAGAACAGTCCTACATCTCATTGCCTTTGGGGAAGCAAATGGAGACAAGATTTTGCCCTACAATAAAGCCCACCTCCCAGGAAGAATAACTAGCTGAGCATTTTCCCTTTCTCCTTCCTGTCTCCCAAAACCCCTCAACAGGCAGAGGGGTTGAGATGGGTGGGTGGGGGGCAGGAAGAGACCCAAACTTGTGTGTGTGTATAGGGTGTCTGTGGCTTGTGAGGCGCGCGAACGCTGTAAGTAGCAGTATAAATCCCTGGGGAGATGGGAAGGGGCTGTACCAAGTCTTCAGCTTCTAGTTGGCTGGTTCAAGTGCATCCCAGGAGAGTGGTAACTGAAATCTGTTTCTCTTTGGATTACATGAAGTGAGTGGCTAGCTTCAGTCCAGATCCTGCTTAGGTAGGTGTCCATTTTGCAGAACTACAGCCTCCTTGTTGGTGGCCCCAACAAGTTGTTGTGTAGCAAACCTCTTACCCCTGGGGAGGTAGTGGGAGATATGCTGGCACTTCTGCTGCTGTACCTGCTTGGGGAGAAATAGTCTGTTAACATGGTACCTTTCACCAGCATGAAATGCCATTTAAAAAATGTAACTGCAGCTATTAGTAGCCTCTGGTGATATAAAGGGAGAGCATGTAGGCCATGAAAATACCTGAACCTGTCACAGAGGGTGGATACGTGTAATTATATGGGATATTGAAAGTTGTGTGTTTTACCTTTTTAGGAGCGTTTACATGTGTTAGGTCAACACTAAACACAAAACTTGGAGACAGAAAATGCTCCTAGGATAACGGAGCTCTGTAGTAACAGGAAGCATGGTGCAAATGAAAAGCAACAATGTGTGATGGAAATGTGCAGTGTTAGCCTGTGAATGAGGAGAGATGCTGTATGGTAGGGACCAGTGGAATAATCCTGCCCTTCTGCAGAACAGCTCATGATACACATAGACACACGACCAGTCTTTATGTACACATACATGTCCTGGCATGTCACTAAGGTCTTACGTCACCAGTGGGTAGCTCCAGACATCTTGTATCTTTCCCCATTGACTCCTCCAGCAAGGAGGGAACCAAGGTGTCGGCAGGATACACTGCTCTCAAGGCACAGATATTAAACGATTTTCCAGTCTCTGTATTGGCCATTTAGCAGCTTCTTCCACCTTCTGCCCTTCTCACCTGTATAACCTCGTTTAGCCTTTTTCGTCCTTGTTCCATGCTAACCCTGCGGCCAGGGAGTGATGCAGAATCTTGCTAAGCAGGTCAGTCTCCTACAGGGTCATGTGGTGCCTTGGGCACTGTACTGTTCTTTCTCATTCCCCAAGCCTTTCTGCATCACCTTGAAATGCTCCTAGGCTCAACAAGCTCTTGCGGTAGAAGCTTCAATGCTCTAGCATGGTGCTAGAGAGCACTGTGCTGCCAGAGATGCTATGTTAACATATGGAAATGAAAAACAAAAGTCCTGACCAATTGCCTCCTGGAATCCCATAGCACCAAGGGCATGGACTTGGGTGTCCTGGTTAAATCCCAGTATGGGATGTAACTGGGTATCGATATTTTTCACTTCACGGCTGAAACAGCTGCTGCTCTGCCCCACTTGAAGCCAGTCATGTAGTGACACTGTAAAGATGTTGGGCTGAAAGGCACAGTAAGATTCTTTTGTTACTATCTGTTACTCCAGGTCATGCCCTTGGGCCTAAAGAGAGCAGGTGTGACCAGGGAAGGTTGGGGAGTGTCTCTGCAGTTGAGAAAAATCCTCATCATTTTTTCCCCTTTTTAGATTTTCTGGCTACAGCTGCCTGTGAATCCTATGAAGTCCTGATGTTTGTTTTTCCTGAGTGACACAACAGAATCTGTGAGGAATGGAGAAAGCTGTCTCTACTTCTTCATCAGAGCAGCAGAGAGCGCATCAGTGTGATGGAGGCAAAAGCGTGTTAATGACATTGGAGCCAAACAAAGAAGATTTTGCTGCCCTTGAGTGCTCCCAAGGTGAACAGAGAATAACTGCTTTTGTTAAAGATGCAAAAATGCCTCTGGAGAGTGCAGCTCTATCAGGGACATCAGTGGAAGGGGGGACTGATCTTAAGGAGGCTGCCTTCTATGCTGCCGACAATGTGGCAGCCATGAGCAGAGACGGGAAAGGGAATTCGGGTGCTGATGACATGTGCAGCCGTAAGAAGGATCCCACTTTTTTCTTGCCTCTAGCCCGTCAGGAGCCAGACGTTGCTTTGGAAGCACACAACGTGGCAGGTAAGTTCCACACCGTAAATCAATAGGTGGGACTCCAATACCATTGGCTAATGGCAAGTCAGAGCCTCTTTCCTGGTGAACAGAAGGGAGGTCAAAAGCCTAGATTGCTGCAGAGTTTAATTTTCATTTAAAAATATACCTGGCATTTGTGGTGGTGCTGGAAACCTTCTAAAAGGAACAGCAGAGCAGCGAGTCTTCCTGAGTCTGCAGACTGCTTTGGCACCCTGCTTCCGCTCATTTGCAGAGTGAGTTAAGGAGACACGGCTTAGTGCAGCTGCTGCTATTCAGGACCCTGCAGGCTGCTGTGAAACTGATTAGAATCCCTGCCAGTTTTCCTTTGCTGCTGCTCTAAGCAGTGAGAAAGGCAGACACTGGAGATCTTTGCAGGAGAGAAGGGAGGAGTCCTTCAGGAGGCTGTGGGCAAAGTCAAGAGATGCTTCTAGCAACCAGAGGATGGGATGGCGGGGGGAGGCATTCAAATGTATCCAGTATCTATGAGCCAGACGTGCCTAGAAAAGAAGCAAAGTCCATGAACAGCACCCTTTTCCTTCCTCCATCTGCAGCCTTTCCCAGCATCTGATGGTAGTGGGAAGGGGTGTATATCCAGGCGTCTCACCAGCTCCAGGCTGGGGCTGTGGGGAGGGACCCCCTCGTCTTTTGTTTTGGCCTCTGGCTAGCAGATAATGGGTTTGCTGGGGTTGTGGGTTGTGTGGTTTTTTTTTTTTTTTTTGGTTGGTTGGTTGGGGTTTTTTGGTTTTTTGAGCTTTCTTGGCAGTGGACTGTCCCTGGTGATCATCCCGCCTGCCGTGGCCAGCCATGCAGCCTCTGCCTTGGTGTGCAGCTCCTGGTAGCGCTCAGTTGATGAAAGCTCCTGGGCATTGGGCCTTTCACAGCTGTTTCCCCTCCTCCTCCCCATCTCTCCTGGCTTCACTTTCTCAGAGGTCGGGGAATTAATGGTATTCCACATGGAGATCTCCCTGTTTGCCGATAGGCTGTGGATATGAGTGCAGTACTGGGCTTCCTTCCTAGGTGAATAGCTCCAAGATCTTTCCCCTTGTGACGTTGAGAGTTTTGGAGGGGGAGGGAGCATGATAATGACACAGCCATGCTGAACAGTGCCTGTTCTAGTTTGTTTGAGCTCATACATATGTTGAGGCAACCAGAAGAGAATCCAAATGTAATGTGCCAATTGGTAATTTAGCAACATGGTAACGATCTTAAAGTTCAGCACCACAGATAGGGATGTAAAATTCAGTGGCACAGTCATGATTTTCCACTGAATGCATCTGATGAAGTGAGTGTAGCTCACGAAAGCTTATGCTCAAATAAATTGGTTAGTCTCTAAGGTGCCACAAGTCCTCCTTTTCTTTCTGTGGATACAGACTAACCCGGCTGCTACTCTGAAACCTGTCATGAGCTAATAGCTCTTGGGAGTTCTGCTTGCCACATCAAAACTGCCTGTTCAATTCATGAATCTTAGACTTGTCAGACCCATTAAATGGTGCCGGTCAGATGCTGAAATGCCAGTGGCACTTGGTAATTTAGTGACCCATGCATGTAAATTGGGGGGGAGTTACTATTTGCTTAGCATAGTAACTCTCTGGGTATGTTGTATCTTCAAGTGCAGTGCCTCTATGTATTAAAACACATACTAACAATTGCATTGGGAGACCTAATTAGGCCCTTTGCACATCTGTGGCTTGCATTACCTCCCACTTGTTCTCCTTGTACCAGTCCAGAGCTTTGGAGATAGACTCCTCTGCCAGCAGGTGGAAACAGGAATCCTGGAGAACTTGGAGTGATTTCTTCCTTTGCTAAGTGGAGTTCATAGGCACAAAGCATGCTGTTGGTTACAGTTTCCTTGTCGCTGTGAAAAGCTGTACCTCCCAGGAACCTATGGCTTGCCAGTTATCTCTTTGGGCTCTGTGTGATGCCCTCCTGCTATTTAGTGGTGTCTCTCCAAATGCGTGTTCCTATACTAAGAACTAGGGAGAGAAGTTCTCTAGCTATGCAGCTGTTCCCAGGTAATCATCTGGCCTGGATGTGCGTTATCTAAGTGGCTTCATTCCCCACCCACTGCACCCAGGAATCCTGGCTGGGAGGTAGTTTTGGGGGAAGGAGGCTGTGATGTATTATCTCCAGTAACAGTGGCCTCTCCAGGTGAGATGGGTGTATGAGCTCACATGACTGTTAGTTGGACATGGATTTGTGTTGCTCTGTATAATTAGATTATGAATGCAATCTCTGTGCTGGCTGAGGGGAGGCCTGGAAAGCTCATGCCTAAATCCATTCTCTCCATTTAAAAAATCTAGAGCTCCTACTATAGAAACAACAGAGAAGGGACCTTTACTCCCCACCACTTTCTTGCTATTCTCCCCTGCATTAGCCCTTGCTATACAATCCTGCCGCAGCCCTTTCCAGTTCTCTCTCAAATGCTGTGTCCTATTACCTTCCCTAGCCGCTTATTTCATATGTTTATTCTTGACTCTGCAGAGAAGTTCCGCCTAAGTTCCGTTGTTAATAAGCAGCTTCCTCATCTATGGATTGAAGCCCTTATTAGTGTGAAAAATGTCACTCTGTTGATTTGTGTGTGTGTATGTCTCTCTCTCCTGGGAGAGGAGCCCAATTTCTTTAATGTCTCGTAATTTAAGGCCAGGTCTCACTGATGTCAATGAGAGCAGGATCCTGGCCCTGGTGAAGGTTCAAATCTCACATAGTCTTTATTTGCCTCTGCTGCATCAGAAATTTCTGTCCAGCTTTCTCCTGATGGATACTTGGTGCAAAATGTGCCTCATGAGGCTGGGAAAGGGGTGGAGCTGTGCTGATTCTATCTGGCCTGGCTACAGCAGGTGCCCAGGGTTTGATTTTTGTATCCAAGTGTGTGATCAGGGTCAGATTGGTGCTGGTGCATAGACAGTCCTGTGGCCACTTGAAATGACTGAATTCTTGTCTGGCCTGGCATTGCACTTGCCTGTGCTGAATGATACCCCTGTAAAGATGTCAGACATGGAATTTCTGCCCTCACTCCCAGATCGTTGTATTCTGTCCTGGGCAGACAATCTCCTTCAAGTGTCAAGTCAGGCATAGCATTGGAGACCAATCTGTTTTTGTTTTATAACTTTTCAGAAGTAGCTGAATAGAGGAAAAAACCATGAAGGGATGGATAGATAGAAAGTGCAGAAGACAATTGGAATCAATACATTGTAAATAAAACAGCATTGAACCATTCCTTTCCAAGCACATGCTAAAAGGGGTAAACTGGGTTAATCCTTTTATTCACACCTCCAAGAACAGGATCCTAGTTCATCGATCTGCCTAGACCAGTGACTTTTTGGAATTCCCTTAGGAAAAGCATTCAGCTGTTGGGCCACAGATCCTCTTGTCCTCTATCATTGTATTGTGGTAGCACTTAAAAACCCAGGACCCCATTGTGCTAGATTGACAGTGTCTCTTCTCTTCTCCATACATTGCACCTACACCATGGCGACTTTGTAGTCCATGTGTGATGGGTAAAGTTCTGAGCTTTAAACGATGTGCCTAGACAGGAGGCTCCAGGGCATGTGACTCCCCCATCATAAATTTCTTGCTGTCTCTTGCCTTGATGTGATGGAGGAAAAACTGCTTTTTTCTCTCCCCAGACCAGGGACATTTTTTTTTCCAAGTAGTGGGTGGCCTGGTCCAACATTTTCACCTCTCCCCACTGTGAATTATGTGCCTCATGCTTTGCAAATTAGAATCCATTCTGGCTGGTTGGGAAAACCATCAACTGTGTGCACAGCTAGTTTATGCCGAACCAACCTTTTTTTATTACCTGGTCCTCCTCCAGCTGGTTTGTTTAATTCTCGTTATTATTACCATCAATTACATGTGCTGTGGCAGTGCCTAGGAGCCCCACATGTGGCCCAGGACCCCATTGCACTAGCACTGTATGTTATTTATTAGGTGTGCTACAGTAGTACCTAGGAGCCATGGTGTTAGGTGCTGTACAACACAGAACAAAAAGATGGTCTGTCAGGTGTTTGGCTTGTCTGCAGCCTGCGCAGGACCCACTTTCATACCCAGAGTACCTCTCCAGGCACTGGTTTATTTTACAAACACACAGTTTCTCAGCCCACCCGGGGCTACAGCTTCCAGGGGAATTTCCTCTTTGCTTCTCTCGGCCCCTCCTGCTTCAGGGACTACTGTAGGATTCTTCTGTGCTCTTTAGCTGAGCCCCACCTCACAGGGCTTTCTCCCTGGAGGCCCTTTCCCCCAAGCAGGTTCCCTCTATCTCCCCTGCCAGGGGACTCTGGCAGCCTCTTCCAGGAACTCCCTGTTGCTGCTCCTCCCACTTTCTTCCCAACAAGTTGCCTCCTTATGACCCCACTTACTGCCCCACCCTCTTAATTGGCCAGACTGGGAGCACCTGCCCTAGTACACAGGGGGTGGACCTGCTTCATTTAATGGGGCCAGCCACCCTGTGACACAGCTCGTTTAAATTCACCTAGAGGCCTTGTCTTTTAGATTGTGTGCTGGCTGGGGCTGTCATGCACTGGTGTTGTGAGTACTGGGCACAATGGGGCCTGGCCTGACTGAGCAGAGGCCTCTCAGTGCTCCTGCATGTAAATGTCTGATAGCTTGCAGGCAAAACCCACTGTCCTCTGAGTCTCATCCAGTGTCACGCTTGGAGATAGGAACCACTGAGGGTACATAACCTCCCGGGTTGACCGTGGTCCCCGTGGCTGTTGCAGAGTTAACACCGGGGAGTTGTAGTGATTCTTGCTGTGCATCCTCTGCACTCTGAATGACAGGAGCCAGCTCCTCTGACCTGATAGACAGATGTCCTCAGAAATCCCCACCCAGACATGGCCACCTGAACTCCTCTCACCCCGGGCTTTCCCCAGTTTTGGCTCTGTTCCCATAAAGCTCAGCCCACTTCCTCCCCCGGTGAGGAATTCCTTTTAATAACTGGTATTGGGTGGGGTGGGGTCTGGAGTGGAGGTGGCTGTGTGCTGTTTGGG